GAGTTTATATTCGAGAGATTGTCAGACTTCATGGTGTGCCGGTATCTATCATCTTTGACCGGGGTACGTAGTTTACATCACGGTTCTGGAGGGCCGTACAACATGAGTTAGGTACTCGGTTTGAGTTGAGCACAACATTTCACCCTCAGACGGACGGGCAGTCCGAGCGCACTATTCAGATATTTGAGGACATGCTTTCGTGCGTGTGTGATGGAGTTTGGAGGTTCTTGGGATACATTCTTGCCACTTGCGGAGTTTGCCTACAAAAATAGTTATCATTCGAGCATTTAAATGGCACCATATGAGGCTCTGTATGGTAGGCGGTGTCGGTCTTTAGTGGGTTGGTTCGAGCCGGGTGAGGCTAGGTTATTTGGTACATACTTGGTTCAGGACGCTTTGGAGAAGGTTAAAGTGATTTAGGATCGACTCTGCACAACCCAATCCAGACAGAAGAGTTATGTGGATCAGAAGGTTCGCGATGTTGCATTCATGGTTGGAGAGCGGGTCTTGCTCCAGGTATCACCCATGAAGGGTGTTATGAGGTTCGGGAAGAAGGGCAAGCTGATCCCAAGGTTTATTGGTCCCTTTGAGGTGTTGCGGCGAGTTGGGGAGGTTGTTTATGAGTTTGCCTTGCCTCCCACTCTAGTAGGAGTTCATCCGGTATTCCATGTTTCTATCCTCTAGAAGTATCACGGTGACCCGTCTCATGTGTTGGATTTCAGCTCAGTCCAGTTAGAAAAGGATCTATCTTATGTTGAGGAGCCGGCGACTATTTTGGACAGGTAGGTCCGGAAGCTGAGGTCAAAGAACATTGCTTTAGTGAAGGTTCAGTGGAGGGGTCATCCAGTCGAGGAGGCGACTTGGGAGACCGAGCATGATATGCGCAGCCGTTATCCTCATCCTTTCACCACTTTAGGTATGTCTCTATGCTCGTTCGAGGACGAACGATTGTTTTAAGAGGGGGAGGATGTAATGATCCAGCTGGTCTTTTTGAGTGTATTAGCCCCGATCCCCTATTTACTGCTTTCCCCGTATCTTTTTCTGCTTATTTGACTTACCGGGAGGTTGTTGTTGTGGTTTCGGAGTGATTTAGGACACTTAGTTCCTAAAACATAAGCTTAAGTCTTTGGATTTCGACTATAGTTAGAAATGTGTGAAGACGACTCCGAAATAGAGTTTCATCGGTTCCTTTAGCTCCATTGAGTGATTTTGGACTTAGGAGCGTGTCCAGATTGTGAATTGGAGGTTTGTAGCTGATTTAGGCTTGAAATGGCGAAAGTCGAATTTATTGAGATTTTGGCCGGAAGTGGACTTTTCGATATCGGGGTCGGATTTCGATTCTGGAAGTTGGAGTAGGTTCGTAATATTGAATATGACTTGTGTGCAAAATTTGAGGTCAATCGGACGTGGTATGATAGGTTTCGGCGTCGGTTGTAGAAATTTGAAGTTTCAAGTTCATGATGTTTGGATTAGAGGGTAATTCGTGTTTTTGTTGTTGTTTGATGTGTTTTGAGGGCTCAACTAAGTTCGTAAGGTGTTTTAGGACTGGTCGATATGTTTGGTTGAGGTCCCGGGGTCCTCGGGTGAGTTTCGGATGGTTAACGGATTGGGAATTGATTTTGGAAGATGGCTGAAGTTCTGTGATCTGGTGCATCTGGTTTCCTTATACGCGACCGCGAGGGATGGTCCGCAATCGTGTAGGCTAAACTGGGCATAGGAAGTATTTTTCCTTCGCAAACGCGTGACCAAGGTCGCACTTGCGTAGTGTTAAGGAGGCTAAAGCTGGGTCACGCGCTTTGCCCATCGTGAACGCGTGGGTACGTTCGCGAATACGTAAATATGAGGGACGATGCATCGCGCTCACGTGGGGTTTTTCGCGTTCGTGTAATCTTATGTTCTGGGGAAGCGAAGTTGTGCTTCGCGATCGCGATTAAGGAATCACTGGGCAGAATACAACATTTCAAAATTGAGGGTTAAGCCATTTTTATCAAAACTTGAGATAGAGAGCTCGGATTTGGACGAGATTTTGAGGGATTTTCAGATACATCGATTGGATAATGATTCTACACTTGATTTTGGTATATCCCACTAATTAATCATCAATTTCATCCTTTAATTTTGGATTTCGGTTGAAAATTTTGGGAAAAATGGGAGAAGTTCTTCAACTAAGATTTCGGGTTTTGATTTGGATTTTGACATCGGATTTGGATAATTTTGGTACGTGTGATCTCCTGAGTTAATGGGTGTTCATATTTTGTAACTTTTACCCGATTCCGAGATGTGGGCCCGCGTCGACTTTTTGTGGCGATTTTCTAATTTCTTGCTTAAGCGTTGATTTCATGAATTAGATTAGTTTCTTATAGTTATATTTATGGTATGTAATTGATTTTGGCTAGATTTGGGCCATTTGAAGTTGGATATTCGCGGAAAAGGCATTGTTACAGATTGATTGAGCTTGGTTCAAGGTAAGTGGCTTGCCTAACCTTGTGTAGGGGAAACTCCCCTTAGGATTTGATACCATTGTGATGTGTGAGCGCCGTGTACGTGAGGTGACGAGTGCGTACACGAGCTATTTGTTGTAAATCCCAACTTTTACTGAATAATAACATGTTCCACCTTAATTGAGTTATACTAGCATATGTAGTTATCCTGTTTAGCCTAGGATGTCATGTCTACGTGTATTAAATGCTTATTTAAATTCTGTGCAGCATGCTTAGTGGATTCCCTCCCTTTTTCCTTGACTTGTACTTAGTCAAAACTGTAGGATTTCGTGTTGTAACTATTATTTCCATTGTTTTGAGTTGCGTATTTACTTTGGGACTACGGGACGGTATCCTGGCAGATCCCCTTGCATATTTACTTTGGGATTACGAGATGGTACTCCGGGAGATTTTCCTGCACATTTAACTTTGAGACTACGAGCGGTACATCAGGAGTTCTCCCTGTACATTTACTTTTGGGACTACGAGACGGTATCTCGGGAGATCCCCCGCTATTTATCCTTGTGTGTTGTACTGCTACTTCTCTGTGGATTTTCTTTTTTGTTAAATTCCAGTCTTTAGTACATTACAATTATTTTCTTTGCCTTAATTATTTTATATACACCAGTGGGTCCTGACCTGACCTCGTCACTACTCGACCGAGGTTAGGCTTGGCACTTACTGGGTACCGTTGTGGTGTACTCATGCTACTATTCTGCACATGTTTTCATGTGTAGATCCAAGTACCTCCTAGCAGCCCCGCTATTAGTCGCGTACTTGCTGCTATTCCAGAGACTTCAAGGTACACCTGCCCGCGTCCGCAGATCTCGGAGTGCCCCTCTATCCCTTTTATGTAATCTGTCCTTTACTATTTCTAGTTACTGATGTATAGAAACAATTAGACAAATTCTTAGAAGCTTGTGACTTATGATGTTCCGGGTCTTGGGAATGTTTCGCGAATATTCTAGAGTTGGTTATTATATATGTCGAGCGACATTTCTATCAGTTATTTAATTACCTGTTGCTGTTAGTTGTTAAGATTTATGCTTTCATTTTCTTTGTTCCGCAAATGTTAGATCTAGTCATAGAGATTAAGTTTCGTCGCGACCTCTCACGGAGGGAAGATTGGGTCTTGACACAAACATACAAACATACCGTAATTACTTGTGTGACTATACCCCTCACATTAAAGTAAAATAAAAAGTCTAAATTAAATTATTTGTAAATGTAATAATATGTTATTCTTGAAACAGAAAGAGAGTACTTTGGTACTCCTACGATAAAGGTCGGCTAGGTTTCTTTTTTCGGAAAAACGTTCAAAATGCCCCTAAATTATTGAAAAAGGTTTTAAAATATCCTTCATCCACCTATTGGGCTAAAAATATCCCTTCATCCAACTTTTTGGCTCACTTATGACCTTTGACCGTTAGGTCAATGCTGAATTAAAAATAATTATTATTCTTTTTGTAAAACTTTACAAAAAAAATTCACAAAATATTTTTGTTTTTGTAAACTAATGCACCAGTAGTCCTCTAATTTAGTAAAGTTTTTTTTTCAGTTTTTACAAAAAAATATTTTTTTCATTTTTTTTAGTTTTCTTAAAGAATTTTTTTATAAAAACTGAAAAAAAATGTTTTTAAAAAATATTTTTCGTATTTTAAAAGCTGAAAAAGATATTTTCAACAAAATATTTTCGTTTTTGAAAAATATTTTTTATATATTTTCAGTTTTTTAAAAAAACGAAAATATTTTTTCTTATAAAAATAACTGAAAAACAAAAATGAAACGAAATGTTTTAAAAAAAATGAAAAAAATATTTTTCAAAAACTAAAATATTTTGTTGAAAATATTTTTTTCAGTTTTTAAAAAACGAAAAGATTTTATTAAAAATATTTATTTCTGTTTTTACAATTTTTGTTTTCAGTTTTTACAAAAAAAAATGCTTTAAAAAAATAAAAAAAAAATCTTTTTTTGCAAAAACTGAAAATAAAATAAAATAAGAAGACTTTACTAAATTAGTGAACTATTGGTGCATTAGTTTAAAAAAAACCAAAATATTTTCTAATTTTTTATGTTTTACAAAAAGAATAATAATTATTTTATTTAGCATTGACCTTACGGTCAAAGTGCATAAGAGAACCAAAAAAATGAATTAAGGGGTATTTTTAGCCCAATAGATAAATGAAGGGTATTTTTAAGCCTTTTCCAATAGTTTAGGGGCATTTGAACCTTTTTCCGTTTTTTTTTTCAGCACAGAAGACGCGCGTGTGTTCAGTGTTACAGTTTTCACTTCCCAAGAGATTGAAGAGTTGTTGAAGTAACGAGTTAAAGTAGAGCTGGCAATGAGCTTTTCAGATAATGAAAAGCCACTCTTGATGTGATATGGAAATATCTATTTAATTGAACGACTAATTCCGTTCCAACCCTTCTAGTTTGACGACTATTTCTCTATAAAAACCTTTATTTTTTCATTAGACAAAAGGGTCACAAGAAATTTAACACCATCTTACCATACTAACAATGGCCAAGAAAATCAGTTTCAACACTCAAATCTCAGGCAGAGTTCGTCTCGCCACAGAATCAGACGTGCCACATCTCCACAAACTCATGTATCAAATGGCAAAATATCACAACTATACTAAGGTCTTTAACGCTACTGAGGCTTCTATCTCTACCAATCTTTTCATGTCCAATCCTTGCCCGCCTTTCTACTCAGTGACCGCATTCATTCTTGAAGTCTCACCCAACAATTTTCCTCAAAAAACCACTAAAAATTCCATTTTTGACCCAATTCAGAAAACCATTAATCTTGACTCACCTGTAGTAGACCCAGAATCAGAGCTGTTTAGAACCAATGAAGATGATATTTTCATAGCTAGTTATATCCTATTTTTTCCTAGCTATTCAGGTTACTTTGAGAAACCCGGTTTTTTTTATTGAAAATATGTATGTTAGGGAGTGTTATAGAAAATATGGATTTGGAAAAATACTATTTTCTGCTGTGGCAGCGCAGGCGGCTAAAATGGGGTTCTCCACAGTTGATTGGCTTACAGTTGGGTGGAATGTTGATGCCATTGATTTCTATGTTGGAATGGGGGCGTATATTATGGACGATGTCAAGCGTTTTAGGCTTTCTGGTGAAGGACTTGATGCATTTGCTTCAAGTGAGGATGCTGACAAGTTTAGATAAAACTATTTAATATAGCTTGTGTATAATGGAGAGCTTATTATAAGCATAGGCGAAACCAAAATTTTGAGTCAAAAAGTTCAGAACGAGTGAGATCTAATTATAATTAATAAATAAAATTTAGCTATATTTTTACTTTTTGGGATATCTGATAAGATGAAAATATAGTGGTTTTATTGCATTTTACAGGTTTTGTATTTTTGGGAAGATACTGGAAAGAAAATATGGAAATAAGACAAAAGTGTGGAAAATGAGAATATTCTGGCCATATTTTAAAGTGGCCTGGACTGCCAATTCTGTAATTTCGGACTCAACCTAGCTAGAAATGCAAAACTGGGCAGAAACACTAGATTCATGCCTTCGAATGTAGCTTAGGTACCAAGCAATTGAGTGAATTAACCACTTGATTAATAAAATCTAACTACCAATAGTGTGATTTCTACTTGAACTAATCAATTGCATATCATTGAACCCTAATTGACTTGAGAAAGTATCTTGCGGGTGAAAACCTCTTAGTATTGGAAGATATTAAGTTGTCAAATTAGAAATTGAGGCTATAAAACATGCTTAATTTATTAGAATTGAATACCCATATATTCAATGCATAGCTTACACGAAGCGGAAACAAGTGCCTTTCTCATATTTGTTACATCTCTAGCTACTTTTGCATTATACGTGTTATCTTTAACTCCTTAGTGAAGTAATTTAGTAGTTATATTTTATGAGATTCTAAGTTAATTGAGGAATTGATTAATCCTAGGCTTGTGATTTGTTTGATATAGACATAACAACTAAAACTAAAAGCTTTTATTAGTTCGGCAATTACACAAATTAAATTATAAATAAAATTGATGTTGAGTTGGATGGATTGAGTTATGATCCTTATTCTTATTCGTGTTGTGTGTCTCTTGGACACTCGGATTTGACTTGGCATGTATTTTCTTCACATTTAAACGCATGAGATATTATTTCACCCATTTCCAAATGAAAGTACAGTGAAATTTTATTTTTATCCGTATCATCTATCTCTACTTCATTCCTAATGTCCCTGTCCCATTCTTCTCCATTTTAATTCTTTTTTCTCGATACTCACAACTACTGGAGTTGGTACAGTAATACTCTTCGTCCACCAATTTTGTATCGTTTTCTTTTCGGCTCAAGGCTACCCTTATGACTAACAATTCTATTTGGTAAAAAAATTAATTTTCACATGTCATCGTCCCTTTAGCCTAACTTAAAACTCACCTAAATTAAAATAAACCCACCCGCATTCTAAGACCCATAAACAAAAATACTTTTCCTAGTCTATCCTTCTTCCTCTCCCTCTTCCGTTTCTTTCTTCTCTTTCTTTTCAAAATATTCCAACATCCAAAACTCTTATACACCCATTTTTTTCCTAAGCAAACAAAACTTTCTCTTATAGTTAATCACTTTCCTTTTCCTGTTTCTTCCTCTATTAAATGTACACATCAATACTTTTATTTTTGTTTCATCACAGAAATACCATTTAACATCAATTTTTCTTACTATATTTCACTGTTTTACACAGTAAGCTCAATCAAGTGTTTATTGCAATCACATTCTCCAATAAGTCGTATTCTCTCATATTCTCAGACATAGGATTTCAAATATTCCTCTTGATTTTACCGTCTCGTTTTTAAAATTGGCGGTGTTGATATTGCCTGAAGAGCATCCTCGTACTATAGCGTAATTTATGGACATGATCAGATGTTCAGACTATGGTGAGCCAATGTAGAAGAGAAAAGTTGAGGTCCGAGCAGAGACCAAATAAAACTCCGGTATAATCAAAATTAGATGCGGAGTTGTCAGGAAATATACATCAAAAAATATTGCAAATGCTAAATGACTATTACCATTAACTCTCTGTTAGTGTTCATATATTTGGGTGAAAGTTATATGACGTAAAGTGTTGGTGACTAAAAATTTTGATTGTCTAAAAATAAAACTTTAATGGTGGTTGTAGTGATTATTCAAATAGAGTGCAAGGTCAATAAAGGATGAGAAGAAGAATATGAACGTGCAGACGCTAGAGGGGGTGGTGGGGAGAGAGATTGATAAGGTGATGCATTTTTCTGAGAAGAGGACGACGCTTTGAGAAGGAGAAGAACAACGAAAAATAAGTCTTTTGGATATGGATTTTATATAGGGTGAGTATATTTTAATTTGGGTGGATTTTTAAGTTAGGCCAATGGGATGATGACACGTAGAATTTAATTAAAGGTTTTTTTTTACCTAACAGGGTTGTTAGTCGTAACAGCAGTCTTGAGCTGAAGAGAAAATGATGAGGGTAATTTTTGCAAAATAGGTGGACGAAGAGTATTATTGTACCAAATCTAATAGTCCAGGGGTAGTTTTGGTCCTTTTCCGTATAAAACATTCCCTACTTTCATTAGAAAATTCCATTTAAATGGTAACCAAGCTGAAGAGAAAATTTGACAAAGATGAGAGAGATGGTGGAGAAGTGAATAATATATGATGAATCTGGTGTAGTTTGAAAGGAAGGTGTAAATCTCAGTTTAGCCCGTTGGACTAACTTAATAGAAAAAAGGGGGAAGTGCACAGTTAGCCACTAAATAACACATGAATTTACTTTTAAGCCACTGTTTATAATGTCTTTAGTCTTTAGCCACTGCTTTAACTGCCCGGATGAAAATACCCTTCTACTCATGTCCTTAACTTTTGAACTTAACTTCAGGACTTCGGGACTACATGTCCTTAACTTTTGAACTTGGAACTCTAAGTTCAGGACTACATGTCCTTAACTTTTGAGCTTAATTTCAGAACTTCAAGACTACATGTCCTTAACTTTTGAACTTAACTTCAGGACTTCAGGAGTACATATCCTTAACTTTTGAACTTGTAACTGTAAGTTCAGGACCAAGTGTCTTTAACTTTTGAGCTTGTTAGTCTAAGTTCAGGATCTATTGACCTTAACTTTTGGGCTTCTTAGCCTAAGTTCAGGACCTATTGTTCTTAACTTTTGAGCTTGTTAGTCTAAGTTCAGGACTTCAGGGCCTATTGTCCTTAACTTTTGAGCTTGTTAGTCTAAGTTCAGGACCTATTGTCCCTAACTTTTGGGCTTCTTAGCCTAAGTTCAGGACCTATTATCCTTAACTTTTGAACTTGTAACTGTAAGTTCAGGACCTATTGTCCTTAACGTTTTTAGGTCCTGAACTTTTGAGCTTGTTAGTCTAAGTTTAGGACTTCAGGACCTATTGTCCTTAACTTTTGAGCTTGTTAGTCTAAGTTCAGGACCTATTGTCCTTAACTTTTGGGCTTCTTAGCCTAAGTTCAGGACGTATTGTCCTTAACTTTTGAACTTGTAACTGTAAGTTCAGGACCTATTGTCCTTAACTTTTGAGCTTGTTAGTCTAAGTTCAGGACCAAGTGTCCTTAACTTTTGAACTTGTAATTCTAAGTTTAGGACCAAGTGTCCTTAACTTTTGAACCTGGAACTCGAAGTTCAGGACCAAATGTCCTTAACTTTTGAACTTGTAACTGTAAGTTCAGGATTCATAACGTAGCAGAAAATCAAACGTTATTTGTATCTTTTCACAAAAAAAATAAAAATAATAATAATTGCAATTTACATATAAGATTGATGTCAAATTACACAACAGAAAGCTAATAACAAAAAGAATCAACTAAAAAGATAAAAGACTACAGAACCTTCATTTTCTCTTTCATGAAATATCATCTAAAAGGCATTCATGGTGTTTTTTCGAGACACAAACACATGAATTAAAAGACACTTTATACAGAAGGAACTAATAAGTTATAATGCATTTAAGGATGTAAACTTAGAATAACTTGGCTGAAGGGCGAGTTTAAGATCAGAGACACAGCCATGTGTTACTGAAAGAAAAAATGCACAGAAGAGATTGAGAGAGAAGCACACATAGCCAGCCACTTCTGTACAGAGAGAAGCGAGGGTTTGGGAAGAAAAGAAATGGAAGAAAGGGTAAAAATATCTTTTCAAAATAATTTTAATAGAGTAGTGGCTATTTTTGCTGAGCATTAGAGTTGGTGGATAAAAAATAAACACCATCTTATTTAGTGGCTACCACACGCCATTTTTACTAGAAAAAACTACAAAAATGGAAGGATTAGCCCATCACGTTACAGTTGCGATAATTTAAGGAAAATTTATCTGTCATATTCAAAATCTAAGAGCTATTAATGGATCACAGCTACCTTTCAATTTAATTATCTTTCATAGCTACAATGAACTTTTAATTTACCCATCATATCTAATACCAAATACATTGAGTTATTCCACTGTATAATCTTTTCTCTCAAACCTCTTTCTCTCTTCTCCCACAACTCTCTCTCCTTTTCCATCTCTCTTCTCCCTCGACAACAGAAAAGTCATCGCCGGCCGTCTTCTCCGGCGAAATTCTACGGAGCCCAACTAAACAACTGTCTCTTTCTCTCTTCCTCACACATCACCACCCTCCGCCATATAGCTACTTCACCGTGAATCACCCTTAAACACCGTCGTCACCCACCGCCAGATCAAGATATGAAATCACGAAGTGGCGATCAATCCATTACGGGCGGCAAAAACAATGGAGGAGGAAGATCGATCGGAGGCGTCACCAAATCTGGATCTAACGGAGATGCCGGTATCCTTGGCTACTTCTCCTTCTTTGTATCTCACATCTGAGTGTATTCGTCTGACCTGAGACTTATTTCACCACTACTACTTTTCACTCCGAAAAAAGAAGTCGCCTATTTCTTCTCCACTGCCTTTCACGCCGGAAAATTGTTTTATAAATACAATGTATTTTGTATTTCCTTCAGAGATCTAAAGTGTATTTTAGATTTTCGCCGGAGATCCGACGGGGTTTGAGTATATTCTCTATTTTTAAATACAATGTATGTTGTATTCTCGTCGAAGATTTGACCATATTCTTTATTCTTTTAGTTAAATAAAGTTAATTTTTAAAAGGATTTGAAAGTATTCTTCATTTGTTTTAGTG